GAAGTAAGCGTCTGGCCCAATGTCAGCACGGGGGGGGCGGGGGGGGGGTTGCACCACCAGGTCCTAGTCTGCTTCCAGAGCCCAGGGAGACAGAGAACTATTTTATTGGCACAGCAAATTAATTCTCTGATCTTCTCTGTGTGATCAGTGAGTGCTGTACTCACAACGGTTCTGTTCTGCTGTTATAAGCCGGGCTTCGCAGGAGATCCAAGCTCAATGCTGTGCTTGATCTCCTGTATTGGAGGGCAGGGGAGACATTCTATTGTTTTCTTACTAAATATTTTTTTTGTGGGGGTGACACCATGAGTTACTGCACTGGGTAAAACCAACCCTAGTGACACCTCTTGGCTGGCTCTTTAAAGGAGTAATGCAAAGATCAAAATGCATTGATTATTATTATTATTATTATGATACAGAATGTATATAACGCCAACAATTTGCTCAGCGCTTTACAAAATAGTGGAGAAAGTACAGTTACAATACAATTTACAGTACAATACAGTTTCAGAACAATATGGTTGGGAGGTCCCTGCACGTGAGAGCTTACAATCTAGTACAAGTGGGAAAGTGATACAAAAGGTAATCATTGTTTGGATTTAGTTATTGGAGGAAGTAAAAGGCAGTTATGTTGAGATGAGGTAGGCTTCCCTGAAGAGATGGGTTTTTAAGGATCGCCTAAAGGTGGGCAGCGTAGGAGATAGGCGGACACATTGGGGTAAGGAGTTCCAGAGGATGGGGGACACTCTGGAGAAGTCCCGGAGGCGAGCATGGGAGGAGGTCATGAAAAAGCAGGAGGTCTTGAGAGGAGCGGAGAGGACTGTTTGGGCAATATTTTGGGATGAGATCAGTGATGTAGGTTGGGGCGGAGTTGCAGATGGCTTTGTATGCTGTTGTTAGTATTTTGAATTGTATTAGTTGGGCAAGTGGGAGCCAGTGGAGGGATTGGCAGAGAGGGGTGGTAGACACTGAATGGTTGGTAAGGTGGATGAGTATAGCAGCAGCATTCATGATAGACTGAAGTAGGGATAGCCTGCTTAGTGGTAGGCCAACAAGGAGGGAGTTACAGTAGTCGAGACGAGAGATTACAAGGGAGTGAATTAGAAGCTTTGTGGTTTTGTTTGTTAAAAAAGAGCGTATTTTGGAAATGTTACGGAGGTTGAGTCAGCAAGATTTGGATAGTGATTGGATGTGGGGCTGAAAGCAGAGCTCAGAGTCAAGGATAACACAGAGCACCCTGGCATGATGGGAGGGGTTGATCGTAGTGTTGTTGATTGTGATGGGGAAGTTGGGGGAGGGAACACGGAGAGGAGAAAAAATTATAAGCTCAGTAAGGTTGAAGAGAAAAGAGCTAGATAATGCTGGATATCTTCCAGCCAGGAAATGAGGCAGGCTCTGTCTGACTTGCTGCAGCTCAAATTGTGTGAAGCACAGGATAGGAGCCTGCACAACTGTGCAAGACTGAAGGTAAGGCTGGAGTTCAGTTATTATTCAAACACAAAGCAGTAACCATTTACTTTATTAAATTATTACAATATTATTTCAGTCGATTTTATTTTGCTTTAAAAAATCTTGATTAATTAAACACAGATCTTTTCTCGATTAAATGTGCTTAATATTAACAACGTAGTAAGAATAGAAAGAATGATTTCCAATCCAGTCCAGATAATCAGCATTTTGTCATATATAATACACATTTACTGTATGCAGATCAGGAAGACATTATCTTCAACATACTTTACAATAGCACACTTTGGACATCCAGGGATTCTGTTTCATGTCATCTGCAAAAGCAAAACAAAATACATTTTTAGATACTAGACAGTAAAGCTTTTTATGCAAGGGTGTCACTTATAGGGGGTGTTTTATGAAAGTTAAATTAAAGCTTGAAAACATTTGTGTACCTTCCTTCCAAATATTCATGATTTAAGTTCATTTAGTCTGGAGGAATGTAATGCAAAGGAATACTTACCTCATTCCTCAGCTCCGCTAGAGCCAGCTGGATTAAGTTAAACAATGTTATTTGTTTTTGTAATTGTTATTGCCATTATAAGTTCTGTAGAGGGTGGTAGAAAATGATAGAGCTGTATAAATTATTATTATTATTAATAATAAATACTTTTTTCAGGAAAAGCAAGATTATCACTTTTTTATTTACTTTTTAATTAATATTTATTTTATAATTTTTTTATTTTTTTTAACTTTTTAGTAATTTTTCTTTTTTCTTTATTTTATTTTCACTTTTTTTCACTTAACTTTATTGCTATCACACAGGAGATAACAGGACCCTGCGTGATGGCATTTAGAGGTGGCAGGTTCTCTGTATGGGGCGGTGGCAGGGGGTTTGGGTAGGAGCAGAAAGCTAATTACAAGTGATGTATGCAGCTGTACAGCCGCCAAAATCACTTGACTGGTTCCCCCCAAACCATGGCAGATGCAGCGACATCTGGTGGGAGAAATGACACTGCTGCACTAGAAGGAGGCTGAGTTGCCTCTCACCTAGCGCAGCAGAATGCACGTGGTGACCAACTCAACAGGGGTTGTGACCCACAGTTTGAGAACCACTGATATATATATGCATGAATTAAGATTTTTTTTATTGCCATCTATTTCTGTTTTTTGAGGGGGTTAAATTGTGCAGGGGACAGTGCCAAAATATATTGCAACAAGAATGGGACTTCCCTCCCTGATGGGCACCAATGCTGACGAAAGGCCTGTAGCTACTCTGCATCAGGGGAGACATTAAACTACAATATCATGATGCCTAATTGAGCAGTGCCCAGTTCTAGAATGCTTAGAATTCCAGAATTGGGCACCTGCTGCTTCTCTGCAGTGTGTCCTGGATCCTAGGATGCACAAAGGGAAGCTTCCTTCAGCCCAACATTTGTCATCTCAGGGGTCCTGACAGCCCCCCCTTTCCCCCAGCCTGGACCCCATAGCCTCTGCATGGTTTGTGATGGAGATAATTCGATTAGCTCTTGGGTTACATACCGTACAACCTTAGACCATACAGAATACAAATCATTAATAATTTCCCTATGCCTACAATGTTTAAATCAGTTTTCTTTCCATTTACAAGCTGAGTTTACAGAACCTTTATATCTTAGCTTTTCACATTAGCCATCTGTGAGGCAACTTCATTTTCAATGTCTTCAAAGTGAGGAAAATCCCCTCTTAGACAGTTGTCATTGAGACAAGTGTCACCGTTGGCAGATTTCCTCTCTATTACTGTTCTGATGGCAACTCACAATTTTGGATTTTTCCTCACTTTTAATGCAGATGCCAATGGTCACTGGGTCAAATAAAAGGAATTTCCCTAATGGGAACAAAGACATCAATAAAAACCTGACAGGGATTCTAACCAGTTTCTACCCTATACAAAACTAATACAAAGACATTAGGCTTTAGATAACGATTAGCATAGGAAGAGTATCATTGTTGTCCATATTAGATCATTTTGTTGAAACTGTTCTAACTTGCCTTAAAATCTGATGGGTTGCTGCAGATAACACAAATACCTTTTTTCCTCCAATTTGTATACATTTGCTTAATTGTATAAAGTCTATGTGAATGCAGTTAGTACAAATATTCAGTTATAAAAAAATAAAATAACTGACATTTATCTCTCTTGTAAAAAAAACACAGGAATTGGAAATTGAGCTCATACTCCTCAAGGGAGTCACCCATACATTTTATGCATTAAAGCAGAAAACATATATTCAGAAGTATATTTGTTTGTTTTGCAGACCCCAGTTTTAAAGGATGGGAATGTGTTCAGATGAGATCTACTTTGGGGAAAGGGTTAGTCAAAAATACTAAAAGAATAAATATACTTCAAACCAAAGTCCACTTGTTGCCTCCTCCTCTGACCTAACAGATCCAACCCACCCAACAGATGTATACTTACCTTGATCCAATGCCTGCTGCCTTGTAGAATTGTTTACATTCCACACAGCATGTCCTCTCTCTTCTGGCTGTGCCTGGACAGTAGGACCCCATAGACTTTGGGAGACCAGCCCATAGCCCTTTATGGGGCCCTTCTGTGCAGGCGCAGCCAGGAAAGAGAGGACTTGGGGCATGGCACCTCAACAAAAATAGGAGGCCATGGGCTTTAGATCTCGATGAGTATGCATCTGTGGAGGGGGAAGGTGGGATCTGTCAGGTCAGGGGAGTAGGGGGGACAAAAAGAATAAGTGCTGTTTGTCTGAAAGTGCACTTCTTTGAAGCAATTCCTAAATAAAAAGCACATTCTTAGAAATGCAACATTGCAGTAAGTTGATTTCTCTTCTCCCAGAGTTAGGAACCATGGGGTTTAAAGGCTGTTTCCATACCAGAGTGTCTCACTTTTCTGAGTTGTGGGAGAGCTTTGCAAAATAGTAGAATAGAATACCTAGAGGTGTCAACTATACTATTTAATTGTTTTGTTAGTATGGGTTACTAGGCCACAGACTTATTTAATACTTATATCATAAATATACTAAAGCAAGATATATTCTAATTAGGGAATATGCAAGAACGGAAGTTTTAAAGCTGTGTCCAAAAAGACTGTGGTCTCCCTGCAGCTAATCTGTCTCTATTATTGAATTACCATGCCTTGTTCTGTGTATTTGTATGAACATGGCCATCTTGGTAGAGGCAGGACTTTACTTTCTTATGTCAGAGCTTCCAGCTGGGAGAACCCGTGAGCTGTACACCGTAGTGAGAGATTAGCAGTCAGGGCAGCAGTACCTTAGATCTCACACTGCAGAAATACATCAATGAGGCTATAGTCACAGGAGCGCCTAGGCACCTTCACATACCAGGAAGTACACTTCTATACACAGGAGAAATTCCAGGTTAAAAGTAGCTTTTTAGGGTACTGCTTAGCGGCAGATAACATTTCTAGATGTTCCCTAAAACACAGCAAATCTTCACTTTTGAGTTCAGGTCCACTTTTAACTGTTCTCCTTGCATTGTTTTACTAAATAAGATCTAGATTATAAGCACTGGACAAAGAATTCCTGCACAATGATTATGTTCTGTTACACTACAGGGAAAATTTTGCATAATTTTAGTGTTTAACGTTATTTTTTTGCTTTTCATTGACATGCAAACAGACATTTTATTTTTTTGTGAATAAAGCGTTAGCTACGTTATTCAAACATTTGTATAGTTATACCTGCCTGTGCATTTACCTGCCTTATATTCAAATGATTTGCTCTTGAAGTGAGCTATATTTGCCTTGTCTTCCCTTACTTAAAGCACAGGTTACAGATTAATTAAATTAGATTCATTAAGTAGAATTGTTTGGTTGCTTTTTTATGAAGGTCAACCGTGGCCACACATGAGAGGCACAATAGAATTGGAGCTGAAAATGTCATACGATGTAGTGTGTTTGTTTGAATTCCTTGTCCCTTAAAGCATCTTCATATCACAGAATTAAGTGTGCAATTACCTGATCAAACCTGATTTGCCCTGTGCCCTATTGGAAGTGTGTTAATTTCTTATCACAGAATTTCATCCACCAAGCCGTCAATAAATAATTCATGTTCCTGGCTCTTTGTTGTGTGCCCCTGTACTGCACACAGAGCGTAGAGGCTGACAGCTGTGTCAGGACAAGCACCAAAGATCTGACATGACAAGTGACTAACAAGTTTCTTTCACTCTATAGTCAAGGAAAACAATGACACACAAGTACAAAAACCAAAATCCTGCAAAAAATGATACAGTTTCTTTCTCTACACCTAGTATTGTGTGCCTTCTCTGAACTGATTCCCAGCCCGTAACCTCTGGTCATTTTTGTGCTCCCCACCCCTTTTATTCTCCTCACTAGCTCAGCCATTTACGCTTGTCCACGGATCAATATGAACAATTCTTGAAGAAATACGATGTCACTATGGCAACCAAGCCACAAATTCTCGGTGGAAGGCACTGAGACCAGTTCAGAATTCTCCAGAGGTTTCCAGAGTTATAAGGAACAGTGTTTTAAAATTCAGGGATGGACACACAGGGAAGCAAGAGCAATTCATTGTTTACTGCCAATATAATGATACCATATTTGAAGAATCCTATTCTCAATCTGGATCCTTGTCATCAGTTTTGTTCAAGCTTGAGTGTGCCTCATATATCTTCTGTAAGTGGGAAAGCATTGTATATTGGCTGCCGTTGTTACATCGTTCCTCAAAATAAGCAATCATAAACAATAATACACAATTATTGGGATGTAATTGTATACAACTGAGCGTTTGGGATATAGCTAAATATAAATGTTTCAGATTTTTTACTTTCAGGTTTTGCACGTAGTGATTTATTTATATTGCTATTTTGCGCCAGTTAGCAAAACTGATGCAAATGCAAACCATGTTTATGTTTATGCTTCAGGTATGAAGCATTCTTTTAATGCTATATTTCAGATAGTGATAAGCTGTTATCTAGTTTACTAGGAGCAGTGATCCCTATAGTAAGATAACCTTGATGTACAGAAGATATTTTGAAAGATCATTACAAGAGGTGACCATAGTGTTTGTCATATGAATGCTTTCACTTGCTTTCTCAAACTCAAGTGTGTCGGTAAGGCCTGTCAGCTATAAAACACATAATGGGAGCTTGACATTTAGCAAAGCATTTGCCATAGCATAAATAAAGCAATTGGCTATTGCTATGGTTTGCTGACATGCAGCCTGTTTATCAAAAGTTTAATATGGCATACATGACCAATGTCATAATTAATAGATCATTATGCACAAGAATATCACCATTAGTTAGTCAGAAGGTCAGCCAAACCCTAAATACAACAAATCTTTTCCAAGCCCATCAAGTATAGTGGTACTCAGCTCACGTTCATAATGTGACTGCTCTTGTTTTGCCTCTCCAATTCTTTAAATATACATGAAGCCATTTTTTTTCTTATGTTTTGGACAGCATAATGAAGGGTTAAAACCCCTGTTCTTTTTTTTTTACGATATCTATCTATCTATCTATCTATCTATCTATCTATCTATCTGCATTTCCCTTTACTTAGTGTGGAACTCTTTTTAAAGAGAGGGGAAATCCAGTTGTCACCTTAACATAGGAAGTATTCTACTCTATTCTTGATCTAGAAACAACTCAACATTTGGGATTTCCTCTCACATTTAGTCCCTTTGATAGTGGTCACCAAGACAAATAGAAAGGTTAAATTTCTCCCGCAAGGATACAGGCAAAATGTAAGAAAAATGGATTTAGACACACTTTAAATAAACCCAGCTTGATAAATAGAGATGGCAAACTAAGCAGCCATCTACTTGTATTAGCACTGACAGATAAATTATTGGGCTTCTATTCAGCAATAATTTTTGGCAGCCATTGAGAACTCTATGGCATATGACCAGATGAAAGCTATGGGATTGCTGAATATAAGTCACACCTGATATCTTTCACCTGAGCTGGATATGCTAACACAAATGAATTCATATTTAATTTAAATATCAAATGTTGTAGATATATTGGTGTAACTTTGGACAACTATTTTGTCTTTAATGTAAATTTCCATCTGAATAGACACTATTTATAAGATTGCTGATGAGTGAGAACAGGTGAGTATAAAACATAGTTCTCTTGCTGGGGGTGGGGGCATTTAACAGATAAGTTGATAAGCAGAGTTATTGTTTAAGACTAATTTCAGAGCTGGCTATGCTTGATAAAGAGACCTGAGCTGTTTCTATAGTTTTAGAGTTGACTATTTTAATATAGATTTTTTTGAATATAGATTTACAAACATCTGGCAAGCACAGTCCAGTTCAGTATCAGTGAGTGAACAATGGCATGTAGGTATTTTAGGGCTGTGCAATGGATTTGCTGTACAGCTGCCTAATAGTTCATTACAAGTGCTAATTATTTTACTAATAGGTAACTTCTTAAAGTGTATTTCCACATTTGCATTCAAATGTGATAAAACCTCACTATATGTTGGTATACCTAGCGTGCCTAAAAATAGTTTAAAAAAATATTACTTGCCTTTCTAGTGGTTTCTTTGGAGCGAACCTTTGGGGGACACTGCAAGCTATTCTGAACAATTTCAAACTGAGTCTGTCCCAAAGACAAAGCGGGGACAGACTGCATTTGCCTCATTAACATATCATGCAAGAAACCAAGCTTCTCAAGCTTTAACCCTTTGCTAGAACAGTGTTCAAATCTAGTGTACAACTGATAATGAGATCTGCCACCACAGTACAGACAGGGGTAATTATGGTAAATATTAAAGTAGTACTGTATTAAACTCTCAGATTTTTTCCATAATGAATCCAGATCAAACAAATATACTGTACATTACTCAGCAAAGTATTTTTATTTTACATTTTTGTCCAAACACTTACAGTTATCATGCCTCTGAATAGCTGGCCTCAACTCTTTAAGCTCAGCCTCCATAAACTTCCTTTCCAGTATCACAAGGGACAGAGCAGTTTCCAGCAGCTCTCTATCTTCTAGCATGGGGAAGGAAGGATAGAGGAGCAAGGGGAGGGAATGACTTGCCCTTTTGTGCCTGTGTGCTTGTGGAGACACACACAGCTTACTATCATACACACAAGGGTGGCTCCATAGGACCCTGCAAGGGAAAGGAGATGACCTAAAACAGGATATCAGGGCCAGTGCTCAGAAGGCCAGCTGATTCTGTATGCCACTAAAACTTTTACACATCACGGAGCAGCATCTATTGTAAGTGATATCATCGGCATTTGAAATAGCTGAAAAACCTTTTGCTTTACTATTACTTTACCTCTCCAACCTCGCCTTAAAATGTCAGTTTTGGAGTTTTCAAAAATGTCAACTGCAATTTGTAAATATCTGTTAAGTTTTGCTATAACAATTATCAAATAGGTGTTATCTCAGCTTGGCTACAAATTTGGAAAGATATAATACCCCATGGCAACCACTGGAAGCACTGAAAACATATTGGTGTTTGGCTGTTATGTTTTGGTACACTTTGCACATTCCTCTCAAGCCTAGTCAAAACTAAACCTGTATTACTATACTGCTGTGCTGAAGAAGCATGATTAATGGGTCACTGTAACTAAAACTCTTGCTTAAAATGCTATAGTGAGAACGATTAGGGTGGTGATGCACAAGAGATACTAAACCAGAGGATTGATGTATTATAATATATACGTACAACCATCAGTCACTCATGGCAATTTGAAATGACCCAGGGTACATAACATGCTGCACTCTCTCACTGGAAATGAAATCTCAAGCCTTTTCCTTGGGGACAGGTCAGGGGATACTGTCAGCTGTCCCCTGTCAACTCAGCTACAACCTTTTGAGATTTCTTAACTGAACTGACAGGCCAAAAAGGATGAATCACCGCTTCAGATAACATACATGCAAACGTTTGAATTAAAATTAAATGTGTTAAAATATTACTCTAATGTCACAATATATTATACAAAAATTCAGCTTCATTTTTTTTAAACCTATAAATCCAAAAATGCCTAACAATGGCCAAAAAAATCTGTTATCTCCTGCATTTAAATTCATAATAGCAGGACCATAAGCACTGTGAGCTTGGTAAGCTGTGTGCATTGGGATAGCTTCAAATTAATTCAGTTTATGTAAAAGTGGGTTTGCCTGCGTCAGCCTCTACACTCAGCTCTTTATACGGCCATTCTAATACTGACACCAAGTCTACTTTCAGAGGTTGCACCTTGCACATATATTTAAAAAATGCTTTAGTCTAAAACTAATTATAATGAAGTGGTAGTGTCAGCTTTATTTTCCTAGTCATAAAGGCTTTGGCCAATCTGAGCCTGGAATTCTTGATGAAAGAGCAAAATGAACCATCTCCACACTGGGTGACCCTTAGAGGTGATTATTAATTTGCAGCAGCAGCTGCTAAAATGGTATTACTCTGTTGTATTTTATGAGCAAGGATGAATGATGGTAGTTTAAGTCCAAATGCCACTTCTTACCTGGACTGTCTGACTCCTCCAATACATTCTTCTCTTGAATTGACTCTGGCTCTTGGAAGTTGACAGTCTTTTCACTTTTTGGCAAAATCTCAGGTGCTGCAAAAATATAGAGACATTTATTATAACCGTAGCGTAACCTTAGTTTAATCATTATTTCTAGCAATATAAGATTGTTCTGTGAAAGAAAAATGTTCAATGTTATGGAATTTTGACTTTTATGGCACTGTTTGGTCTCATTTACTTTCATTATGCTACAGTATATGAAAACTTGCATACTGTATTCAGGTACTCTTATTTTCATTTTGCCACTTATATACTAAACTGTTCAGGAATATCCCTACATATTTATAGTATATGTTAAAGTAGATCTAAACTGTAAATTGATGAAATTTAGTTTGCTAAAGACTGTGTACCATAAACAATTTTTTAAAATATATTCTTTATCGAAGCGGACCTTTACACCCTTTCACTAAAAAACACTTCAGCATGCAACTCTGTATGCTGAAATGAAATCGTCTTACATTCATTAGTTAAGCAAACATATTTTTCTTTAACTTATAATTATTGTTTTTACACTTCCTGCTCCTCTTGGGCCTTAATGATGTAATGTGCCCAAGCCTTGCATCCTGGGAAGGTTACATCAGCAGCAGATTACTTGCAAATCTCATCTGTAATCACACAAGATCTCAAGGAAAGGCATTTCCCTCCCCTGAGATGATGTGCATGGTCATATGTGCCAAAGTTTCAGAAAGTAAAGGGATAATATTAATCTGCCCTCAGTAAAAATGGCCACTGTGAGAAGAATGGGGAGGAAAAGAAAAAAAAGGTATGCAAAGAATAAAAAGCGGGCAATTATCTAGAAGTATCTGTTTGTGGATTGTCATTATTAAACATTTCTAAATGTGTATTTTGTGTTGTTTTAAAGATATGGTTAAAGTTCCCCTTTAACAAAAGTTTTCAAAACAATACAAATAACAGATCATGATGAACAAGATACATACTGTAGATGTAACATTGGGAGCAGATTCAACAAGTGTATAAACGTGGGGGGAATAGTCAGTGCCAAGAAGCATAATAAAGTAACATGTGTCAGCATACCTCATCACCCCGAGAAAGGATGATAATAAATCTATGGGAACCAAAGAATCTGCAAGTAAAAACACCATGTAAATGGGAAGAGAAAGTCAGAAATGAGAGCAAGGAGAAAGAGGGGTAAGAAAAGGAAAAAAAAAGGGGAAGGGGGAAGACTGGGTGAAAGGAAGGGGGGCAAGGGGGGAGGGAAGATAAGGAGGAGACTGTCCCATTATGATGTACTTAGTAGAGGTTAAATCCATCCAGTAGAATCACGTGGAATTTAAGTTCTTTGCAGAACCTTTCAGAAAGCTGGTAAGGTCTGCCAGCAGTTTGATATAATTGATTTCACAAATTGAAACGCAAATTAACCGTGGAAAGGACAGATTGTCTCCAAAGCGAAGGAACGCAGGCTTGGGCAGCAGTTACTAAGTGAATAAGGACTGAGCTTTTGTACCCTTACAGGGGGAAATGGTTGTGATGGAGCAGAAAAAAAGCTGGATCCGATAGGACAGCATGGTTTACAAATTTTTGCATAATAGTTCTAACTTGTGACCAAAAATTAGACAATGAAGGGAAGAACAGAAAATCTGAACCATGTCCACAGGGGAGGAGCTACAGTGCCAGCACCGATCTGGGGAGTCAGAAAACAGCACATGGAGAACATGAGGGGTCATGTACCACCTTGTCAATATCTTATACCCATATTCTTGGTACCAATTGCTAATAGACTATGTCTAAACTGAAAAAGTCTCAATATTTCCACAAAGGAGAACTGAACACTACGGTCCTCCCATAAACAATTGACTTTTATGGGGTTTTTTTTTTCATTAAGTACTGTTTTAATTTTGTATTAATCCTTTTTTGCATCACAGTGCTGCTGATCTTCTCTAGCCTTCTTCAGCAACTTCTTGTACACACTCTAGTTTCTGCTGCACTCAGTACTTTGGACTGACTTCCTGATAATGGCAGTGGAGAACCATGCCTGCACAATGTATGTCATCAGGGGCACTTGTAGTCTCCACAGGGTGACAATGCAGGAGCACAGTTGGCACCCCATAACAGGAAGTTGCTTAACAATGATCTTAATGAAAGGATCACCTGGCATTCTTTAAATGAGAGCTGCATGGTTAAAAAGACTAAATACAAATGTTGACATTAAAGTAATATGTTAAAGCATATATGAGATTTTAGTAATTGAGTTTAAGGCAAATAGGCTGTTCACTTTGTAAGTGAATTTTCTTTTAGCCTAATGAATGTGATAAAAATTTACCAATGGATTTTTGTACGTGCATATTTGGATAATAGAGGTGTACAGAGGGTTGCCTCATTCAATAAGCTAAGTTAAAAATCACTTTCAAAGTGAACAGCATATTTGTCTTTAGTAAATCAACCCCTTAGTCCGCTTTAATATGTTAACAGATACTACATAAATGTTATAGATAATCAATTATTATTGAAACCACTGGGCTTCATTTAAACATGAAGCTGATTTAGTGGTTTTAAAACAAAATGTATATGCCCAAGTGAGCATCCCGTATTCTCACTCCTATCCAGCATCTCTTTTTTATTATATTATCAGTGCAAACTAAGTACTTCACAGTTGTCAAATGACATACAAAAGTACAGAATATAAATTAAATTATATATAAAAATATATGCAGTCCTCCAGAGCAGTGTTGTCAATGAAAGCTGCCTAGTCTGTCCGTGGGGTGTGTATAGTCCTCTGTAAAATCTTTCATTGGCTAAATTTGTTAGCAATTTTATTCTTATAAAATCCTATAAAACTTCTGAAAGCAAAACAAAGTGCTAACTACTTGGGAAAAAAGACTGTACATGAAGATACATCATATGTTTCTTGGCAAGAACAAGATAACAAAAGGAAGAAACATTTATAATACCATATGGCTAACCTGTCAAAATATTTGCACCAGTATTTTACGATTAACATACTTAGAATGCACATTGTAGACACTTCCAGTCAATCTAAAATGTATTGTAATTGGAGGGAAAACATTCTGGGGTCACTGAAATAGAAAGACTCTAATGTGTAATGTATGATTATTATAAGTGTTATACCTGCACTTGATGTTTTGATCCACTTTTGTAACTCTTAGCTCATATGCTTTCTCCAATTAGTCATCCCCCCATCCCATTTCCAAATGGAAAACATTTTTTAACTTTGTCAATGCACTACTGATGCCCTTGATGCCCTACCTGTGGTTTCTTGTCTATTACAATAATTACTCAAACAACTATCACTACTTATACTGGTAGCATCTCCTATAAGCTAAAAAGGTGACTCCTAAATTCATGTCAAATCCTCAGAGCTGACAGTCTTCTACTTCACATATATGTAGCAAAAATGTTATCAGTGGACCAATAGACCTAAAAAGCCAGCAGACCTGTATCTGGTTTACAAAAATAACTGTAATAATACAAATGTATTTGATAGAAATGTAAATATTGTATTTGCTGTTTAGTTTCATACAGACTATAGCAGAGATAGGCAACCTTGTCACTCCAGCTGTTGCAGAACTACATATCCCATGATCCATTGCAACATCTTGACAGCAACAGGCATGCCTCACAAAGGTAGAGGCATGATGTTTGTTTGTTTTTTTGTGGTGCCAAGGTTGCCTACAACTGTACAACTGTACTATAGTGTGCTTATGAGTGGAAGCTGCAAGGAAAAATCATTGTAAAGGCCTCCAATGACAAGGCTAAAATCACATTGGGAATTTTGTTCTTTTCAGGAACCATAAAGATGTTAACTTACTTTATCTAACCTGAACTAGGATCATATTGGACCATTTCTTGCTTTCACTTTTTTAAAACAGCTCATTTAACATAGATCTGATTCCTTCATGACGTTTTAAGTGTTAAGAGATGACCACATAACATTTATTGCCATTCACTTACAGCTCTTCTGCTTTGTACTGCCTGTATTTAATGATGGATTCATGTAGTACTGGTGTAGTGAGCTTTTGTACTCACTGCAAGAAAATGCTTCTGTAAACTTATAAACAATAAATGATTTTAGTACGCTTCAGTGATTCTTTTTATCATCCTGTTTATTCATGTCACTATTGTCTTAAAGATGACACATGAAAATGTAGGACATGAATAAATGAAAAGCTGTTCAAAAGGTTACCACAAAAATGGACCAGAGGGAATATCTCTAGATTTATAAAAGTATAGATATTTTCACTCTAGACGATAACATATTTTATATATGTGTGATTATGAAACAAATTCATCTCTGTATTTTGATTTTAACACTGAAAGTTTTTTGGGTTTTGAAGAAAGTAATGTGGAATATCTCATGGCTCTCATGCAATCTGTTCTACTGTCCACATTAAATTAAGGATTCATTGCCCAAAGGAAATAAAGAAATCTGTATTTTCCAAGCTGATTTGACGTTTAAATGTATAGCTGAATAATTAAGTTGAAGTTGCACTTAAACTCAAAACCCCAAAATGTTATTCTGCCAGAAACAATGTATCAGAAGGTATCTGTATCCTAGTGACATGACAACCACCTCCACTATAATAGGAGAACTGGGCTCATGAAACAAGCTCATTGTTTGCTTTACAACGGAAGACATACGTTAAACCAATTACGTGAGTCACACCATCCTCAATCAGCAGGCAGATAGTAAAGAAAAAAAACAATAAATGATATACACATTATAAAATGCGAAATGTATTTTAAAAGCAACTAATGTAAGCACCGGAACCTGTCTGGATATTTTACTCTTTGAAATCTCCTGTACAGCAGGACTCAGACTGGAAGAGGGAGGATCAGCACTCTAATCTAAGATGACTATGTTGAAGAGTCACATGCTGAAGAAAATAGAGATAACCTCATCAGTCTACTGTTGCCCCTTTATTCAGAGGTAACCTAGCTTTATTGCTTAACTGTGAAGAGGGAGACCACCAAATGGGTCTGCTGCCTGGAAAGGCTGTGTACATCCCAGAACTAGCTGAACAAAATTACAAATAGGTTTAAATTAGTTAAATCAG